TGCGCTTTAACTGATGCACAATTTATAGTTGTTTAGCTTCTTTTTTATGCTTATGGCAAACAGATCGAATTCATCGTTGGCAAATTATTTAATTAGTTAATCAATAAGGTACAATAAACAATATTAATTAGGATAGTGGGCAGCAAACCCCAGCAAACCTAAAAAAAGACTTAGCTCAACCATTACTAAATGCAAAATTCTTACTCGTTCTTTAAGATGCAAAAATGATCGAAGAAGTTTAGCGATGTCTCCAAGGCGGAATGTGCGTGAGGACATTCGTGGAGCAGTGCACAATAACCTTCCTGACCTAGGGGTGTCTTGGGACAGGGAGTCATGTCTGAGATGGTTTCGTTTAAACCTAACTTGAAGTTTCCTAAATAACAGATAGTTTAGTGCTTGGTTTCGCATACGTAAAACTTACCTTTTGGAGTCACTACAAATTGGTTGTCCTCCAGTAATATGCCTAACCAAGGCAGAGAGCCTAAGATCGTGTCCAATTCATCCGTCGGGACAGTGGGAATGAAACAAAAGGGTGTTGTTCGAGGAGGCGGAAGGGTTAAAACTTACCTTTTGGAGTCACTACAAATTGGTTGTCCTCCAGTAATATGCCTAACCAAGGCAGAGAGCCTAAGATCGTGTCCAATTCATCCGTCGGGACAGTGGGAATGAAACAAAAGGGTGTTGTTCGAGGAGGCGGAAGGGTTGCTAAGTGAGTAAGACTAAAGTGCATTTTCGGATAGACCATTATACTTACTTGGTTCAAGTTTGTCGATGTCGATCCGATCACCTTCATTTGCGCCAACTTCCTCGGTGCCATTCGGTTTTACTACAACCAAAGAACTAACAGGTGTTACAAAATTGTACTTCAATGCAAGATCTAAAGCCTGCTGTTTTAAATTGGCACCGTAAACACCATCAGAAGCTCCTTCCTTCTCTAACAATTGCTTGATCGAGAGATACGCCCATAATCTTTCCGTATTCGAAACGCTTGAAGTAACAGTAGGTTCGAGAGAAATGGAACCTTGCGTGCCAACCCCATGAACAACAGGAAGCGGCGGCGCTTCTGTACCGCAAAAACCCGCAATCACAATTTCAGAACCGCCGAAGTGAATGGGGAAGTTTGAGTTTGTGAGGCTCGTAGTCGAGGGTTCGTACTTGCAAGTGACATCAGAAAGTAAAGGCGATGAAATTTGGCGGTAGAAACCTTCCAGTTGTAGTGACGCATCGGCCTCATCATAAATATGTCTAGAGAATCCCGCATTTTGACCTGCCAATTTTTGTAGAAATTCCTTATCGACATCATCCCCAAATGAAAGCGCGAAAATGGGCGATCTTTTTGTGTAAGTATTGAACTCTGTGATCCCAGTTATGATACTGTTGGTTGACATATCAGTCGGCTGACCGTCAGTTAAAAACATCACCAAGGGCTGACGCTTAGTTGTATCGTTTACATGCGGTACGACTCTTTCTATTTCTACCAGTCGCAATGCGACTTGTAACGCTCCAAATATTCCAGTGCTGCCTCCCGCTTTGAAAGCCGATATTGCGAGTTTGGCATTTTTAATGTTTTTGGCATTAGCCGGATAAGCGCGAGGGAATTTTGCCATCTACAAAAGATGCAAGTGCAGGAGGTAAGAATATCGCGCATTACCCACCTTTAATACCCTGAGGTTCTGATACTCGTTACTGCAATAATAAGGGACATCTGTGTATGGATACCATACGCTTTTTTCCGCATTGTCAATGTCCCATACTTTGGTGTAACTATTAAATTCCACCAAGCTCAATGTATCTTGTTCGTTGAGCTGATCCAAAATGTTATGCATGGCTTGCTTCATTTGCTCTATCTTCTGCCCTGACATGCTGCCGCTAGTGTCTAGAACAAACACAACTTGTTTAGGTAGAGGTGCTAATTCTGTAGGGGCGAAAAAATGGACGAAGTATCCATCTCGAATTAAAACTTCTCCTCCGGTTGGGTCCCTTTCCACATCGTACTGCACGACGAACTGTCCAGAAAGTCCATTCTCCTCTTTGGTTCCCAATAAATGTGCGAATTGCTTCTGGCGTTCCACATTTGGAGTGAATGTGACAATCGCGGACGTATCGTTGACAATGGTGATATCGGCTCGCGGGTCCAACTCAACCTTGTCAGTACCAATCTTATTACCAGTCCGAAGTGGCGGGGCTTTCAAGTCAACCAATTTTCGACTTTCGGCAATTAAGACTTCTACGTGTAGATCTTTCACAGGTTGCGCTGGATGAATATTGATAATTTGCTCATAATGGCCATCTTGTCTCTTCAAGAGTTGTTCGTACGTTAAGTAAAAGGCGGCCTTTGCCTCGCGTTCGATGTTTACGGAAACGGTGAATCGGTTGGAGTCACGAGCGGTTACTG